AGGGCCTTATGTTTCGGGTCGGCCCGCTGTCATTCAGCGAAGTATCATTCCCGAGAAGTAGTCGTCATCCGCGTTGTCGGGCGGTGGTTGGTGGACAGGTGCACGAGAGAGACAGTCGGCGTCGGAGTGTGTCTTGCCGGACTTGTAAACGACAGTAATGTAATATTCTTGAAGCCTCAGGCTCCATCGCGCGAGGCGACCTGAAGGGTTCTTCAAGGTGGCTTGCCAACACAAGGCATGGTGGTTGGTCACAACTTTGAAGGGCCTACCGTATAGGTAGGGGCGAAATTTCAACGTAGCCCAGATGATGGCGAGGCACTACTTTTCAGTTGTGGAATGATTGGCTTCTGCTTTGAATAGCGATGGGATAGCGTAACTAATAACCCTTTCAAATGCGTCAGCTCTCTACACAAGAACGGCGCCAAAGCCTAGGCTGCTTGCGTCAGTTAGTATTTCTGTCTCGGCGATTTAGTCGAAATGGGCAAGTAACGGAGGTGTCTGGAGGCTATATTTAAGCTCCTTCTGAGCATGTTCCGGCGGCGTTTCCCACTTGAACTTCATGTCGGCCTTGATAAGGTTAATGAGTATATCGGCGATGCGAGCAAATTTTTTCACGAGCCGCCTATAATAGGCGCACAGGCCCTGAAATCGGCGAACCGCCTTCTTGCCAGTGGAAGGCGGGAAGTCGGCGATGGCGGCTGTTTTCCGTGGATTGGGGCGAACTCCAGACTTGCTAATTACGTGCGCCAGGAACAAGAGTGCCTCGTACGCAAAACTGCACTTTTCTGGCTTAAGTGTGAGTCCGGACATCTTAATGGCTTCAAGTACAGCTTCAAGGCGCTGAAGATGCTCATCAAAACTCGAGGAAAACACGACGACGTCGTCCAAGTACACAAGGCATGTCTGCCACTTCAATTCTGCCAGTACTCTATCCATACCGCATCAAAAAGTTGCAGGCACTGAGCAAAGACCAAAGGACATCACCTTAAACTCGAAGAGGCCATCCGGTGTTATAAACGCCGTCTTCTCTCGGTCTCTTTCATAGACTTCGATTTGCCAATAGCCAGTCTTGAGGTCCATTGAGGAAAAGTGCTTGGCGTTATGTAGCCGATCAAGTGCGTCGTCTATCCGTGGGAGAGGATACACGTCCTTTCTTGTGATTTTGTTCGGGCGGCGATAATCAACGCAGAAACGTAGGAACCCACCCTTTTTTCTTCACTAACACCACGGGAGACACCCATGGATTCTTGGACGGCTGGATGATGTCGCGCCGTAGCATTTCATCAACTTGTGCCTTTACGGCATCGCGTTCCCGCGTGAAAACCCTGTACGGACCCTGACGAAAGTGTCTGGCATTTTCCTCGGTTATGATGCGATGTTTCGCGATTGGCGTCTGCCGAATTTTCGACGATGACGAAAAGCAATCTTTGTATTGCAGGGGCAGGGTCTTGAGCTGTTCTTGTATATGGTTTGGAAGGCCGGGTTGACCTCGAAGACTGTGGGAGGGGCATGGTTTTTCTGAGCAAGTTTCGCAGAATGAGCGAGGGCGAAAGCGCTGGTGGCTTCTACAATTTCTTCGATGTATGCGACCATGTTCGTTTGTTCACATGTTTGTACTCATTGCTGAAATTCGTGAGCATACTTGTTACTTTGCCTCCCCGCAGCTCTGCAATTCCTCTTGCGACGCAAATATTTCGGGTGACCAACAGATCCTGACTGCCTTCAACGACGCCTTCCAAGTCAGGTTATTTAGGAGCGCCGATTGAAATAATGACGCTGGAGTGAAATGGAATGGTGACTTGTTCTTCCAGCACATTCAAGGCATTGTTTCCCGACGGCGTGCGCGGTGGTAGTGCTTCTTCGATAGATCGATACCCCGCATCTGCACCACATGTCACGGGGTCGTGACGTGCCTGAAGGCAGGAGACTTTATGTGTGTATTTAACTGCTTATTTTGGCGAACCTGTTCCTGGTAAACGGAATGTCCGATTGCAGTAGCCATCTTCCACAGATAGCAGTGAATGGAGCGTCGGATGTCAATCATTTACTGGCAAGGGGCGAACGGCGTCGGCATTTATACTCTTGCCATCGAATGTTCTAGCGTTATTGCTGGTGGTGTCGTAGGTTGCGGAATAATCTGTACAGTTCGCAGAGTGGGCGTGATCTTATCGAAATGATCTACTACAGTACTGAAGCTTCTCGAAAACTGCGGGCGCAGTTTGCGCCCAGAATTGTGTAGTGTATTGGGGCGATAACAAAACCTCAGAAATGAAACGTGGCAATATTGGAAACTTTTCAGGAAAAGAAAATGATGCTTGGTACTATCACCGATTTTTCAAAGGCCTTTCACCTCATAAGTCGTAATATTTTGTCGAAAAACTTTATTACTATGGTATCCGGGGCGTAGCTCAATCTCTAGTTACATCCTTCCTTCAACGCCGTTGCCAATTCGTAGCTACAGCTGGGGGCCATTTAGAGTTAAAATGTGTAACAACAGTCGTCCCGCTGGGGAACATATGGCGTTCGTACTTCTTCATACTGTACATCGATGGCATAGTAATTGTTGGCCCATCGGCATAGCGCGTAATTTATGCAGACGATACAAGCATGCTTTTTGAGGGTGACTTAGGTTCTCAAGCGTCAAACTGAGCCAATGAGACGCTTGCAAGTATACAACTGGGCGACGAGCAATTGTAATAAATTAGAGTACGAAAAACAAAAGCTGCAATGTCCAATCTACGTAATAAACAATTTCAAATAAGCCTAAATAAATAAATAATACTAAAATGTAAATACCATTGTCTCTCAAATCACTTGACGTATATATCTCTGAAACTATGCCATGAGATCGCCAAGTGAATACCTCAGTAAATTATCTAGAGCGGTTGGTAATATGCGTCGCAATCGCGATTATCTTCTTACATCAAGTAACAAAGTCTTATATAATTCAGTGTTTCTCTTTCTGTTTCAATATTCTAGGCAGTGGGACCACTACAGCCGAAAGTATTTTGTGACTCGTGCTACTACAGAATTGAGTCATGCACCTTTTTTTTTAGGGTGCCATATCTTTCGCCTGCTGCTTCTTTGTTCACAAAGCTTAGTACCATAAAAATTGAATCTGTGTACACAAAGCATTTCTCGCATGTATAGACTAGGTAAAAGTAAAAATCATGACTCTTCAATACAACTGGCATCCTTACAGCAACGAAACTGCTTTTAAAAATTCAGTTATATATAACCTTGGATTCTCAACAGAAACAGAACTGTATACGGTGATCAAATGCTAGTTTTGTTTACCGACTATTTTAAATCGTTTACACAAAGAAAAAGGCGTTGATGTATTCACTATATCACTAAACAGCATACGTGCAATATTTGTGTGATTGCTCGTGCTGCAAGTGTTGTTTTTTGTAGTTTTTTTGCTGTCATCACATTACTGGCACTTTTTCTCTTGGCTTTTCAAATGCTTACACAATAAATTTGTTCGTTACTTCTTACCGTGTTTGTTTAATTTTCTTGATATTCTGTTCATGATATAGGACAGGCTTTTAGCTGCTGTAACCACTGAGTGTGTGAGATGGCCAGCTTCCCCTCAAGCTGCTCATTGCAGCATTTTGCCTGGTCGTCTTACAACCTCGTTCCGAAATGAACCCAATTCTATTCAATAATTGTTCCCGTCAAAGCGCGAGGTGTGCGATTCTCCCCACCGCGAGAAAAGTGCGCGCGCGTTTCAGCGTCGCCCCCCCCCCCCCATCTCCGCTGGACAAACTGTTCGTTGGAGATGACAGCGTGCGCTGCAGCATCGTGACGATTTGGCGACGCTTTAGGCGACGTGCGTTCTATACGCCATCTTGTTCGTAATGCTGTAAACACGATAGTTCTTCTAAATTTGGCGCCACCAGCGGTAAGTGGTATATGTAACAGGATTGTCGTTTCAACTTTTACGGAGGTGCTTCTTGGTGGCTCAGGGTCTAACGCCTCGCACTCACAAGTAAAATGTCGGACGTTTGATTCCATGCGGCGGAGTCTTTTTCTGGATGATTTTTTTCTTGTGTTTTCGTATATAGGGATAAGTATATATTATACGGTGGATGACACCGACGCCGCCGGCAAAATTAAACTGAGAGTGTCCATATAATTGCTATCGCGTAAAAAACATTAGGGTGGTCACGAGCAGCATTCTCTCTTCGCGTAATGACGCACGTATTAGCGTTTGCTACCACGTTCGTCACGTACCAAAGCCGGAATTATGAGCGTTCAAAAAGTGGTAACGACCTATTCAGAATATGCAATGTCGCGGTGGCCGGTGTTTATTGCATGCTTCACCAGTCTGCATTTACTGCTGCTCAGCGCGTACTATGGTCAAAAACTATCCTGAGCTTTACAAACAAAACTACTAAAAAAATGACACGAAGCGTACAATATTGCAGTTTATAATGCTACCGGCTGTGGAAACCGCGAATTATCAATTTACCCAAACCAGCTCTCTATGGCATGTATCCAGCATTTACGCCATTCTGCTTCGTGCAACAGCTAATAAAGTCAGTAGTAAGGAAGTACTTTACGTCCGTGGCAATAGAAAACATAGCAGTAGCGTAGACTGGGCCTTCGTAGCACGCGCACTTGATGCGTCTGCTCTTCTTTTTGCCTTTGCTCCGGCAAATGATCGAGCAAGCACCTCACGGTGGTTTGGTTTTGCATCGTACTAACGAAAAAAAATTTGTTGCTCTTTTTTGTGAGTGTTTTATAAGCAAACACATCTAATTTAGCTCAATCGTTATTTTCCACGAGCTAGTTGCACTTGGTTACATAGCAACTTGTGCACAAGAGGCAGACTTCGCGCTACCCAAAACTGTTTTGACAGGTGGCGCTGCGTGTCGGCGAAACTGCAGAGCCTGTCGTCTAATGTTTCTTGAATATGGCTTTATATCATTACATATTTTAGCTGTATTCAAAGTTACTAGCACTTCAGCCTAAGTCAAAAGAGGGCCACCACAAAGTAGAAGTTGATTGAAGTCGTTTTATTAAATCCCTGCAAAATTCATATATGTGGGGCGCAAGTTTAGTCTGGGCACCCAAATGATTGAACTTGCGAATGCGCTATTTGTGGATCTGCTTCTTTCCAGCATCCGACAAAAAGATTCGAAGGATTACACTTGTCTTGTTCGTCACATAAGCCTAATTTGCACGTATAATTGACACCACACTTCATGCCATAAAAGCCTGTAGGAGAAACAGTCTGCAAAGAATCGAAAATCAGATATAATGACCTATGTTGTATATATAAAACCGTTCATGAGTAGACATTTCTTTGTGAGCAAAAAGTAATCATACTGCACACCGGTGCTATTGCGAGTGCCTATCAAATATACCAAACAAGTTTACCATGGCATCATCATGAAACTCCATTAGCCTTTATTTCACCTTAAACTTAGTAAACAACACAAAATGTGAATAAAGGATTTTGTATATGCATATCTAAGCTAAAGCATATAAATTTTTTCAGACTTGCACTTACTTTAAAACGTTTAAATGTTTATTACCACACAGCGTTTCGCGTCAACGTGGCCCCAAATAAGAATGTGCATTCTTTCCGCACAGTCACCGTATCACTGCGCATATTAAAAAAGGACGTTTCAGTTAATCCTTATATTATGACTAGCTTTTTTGTAACATTTGCCGAATCACCTTGCAAAGCGTATAGTGGAAAAACCCCATGACATAAATATAAATTGGTAATAAAATACAATTGAGACACCTGCATCACTACCTGCATTTATCTAAATAGATCGGCTGGAACATTATTTTGTTCATTTCACTGATATTGCTATATCTGTAATTACACCAGCAGCACAGCGCATTGGCCTAGTATTGTTTATATTCTTGGCTAGCGATTATTCAGTGAAGGCTCACTTACACCAATACCAAACAAATATTGGCAGAGCCCTCCAATGAGGATGCTAGTAATGGTCTTGAGCTTTCAGCCAAAATAAAACAATGATAGCACCATCCTTCAAAGGCGGCAACAAAGGGCCATCACAGCCAGCCAACGTGATTTATCGGCCTCTTCAACTTCCACTCGAGAGTCATCGGGGAAAACGCACTTGGATGCCACGACAGGATGATATTAAACAGCGATGGTACCGTAAAAAACGAGCTTCTGTGTTCATCTTTGGAACTGAATAATTTGGCTATTTCAATAAGCCATTCACAGATGAGCCCCGGTGTGTTTTCCTATCTTGCGAAATTTTCGCTTGGTATTTTCTTGACATCGCATGCAGTAATTGTTTCCTTCAATCCACCCTACAATCCGTGTTTGTGGGTTTTAAATGTGTGTTGTGTATTTAGTTCATAGGTGTTAGTTTGTGACTAACCATGTTGGGTGTGTTGAAGTTGACTAGGTATGTCATCATCTTTGAGGAAGTCACCGTTCGCGCGAGTTGATTGGTTGATTTATTTTGTTACTTTGCGCCAGCGAAGCATCTGTTTTTAAATTTTCTTTTGGCGCTCGTTTCACGCATAGAAATTCTGTCTTTATAACATTCAAGTTTTTTTTTATCTGTGAATATATTCGCATTTTAATGATCTAGCCAAGGTAACCATAGAATAAACAAACTGGGTATGAATTTTTTGGTTGTTCATGATGGACAATAATTACGGTTGTTTCGGATGTTCGTCGTGAAGTTTGGACGTTCATGTAATTGAATTTTAGCAAACTTCACTTTTAAGTCATTCTTTTTGAACCTTAGATGTACTGCCAACTCGTATAAGCTCTAAGAAGAAGCAACTTAGGCTGTTTATGCTTGTGACTACTTCCTTAATGACAATTTGCCACAAAAATTTGGTATTCATTGTAATTAGTGTTTCATTTGCGCAGCTGTTGCCTACAATAAAACAATCAGAAGAACAAAGGCGGAAATGTAAATTTTTAAATAGCCTGTAGTATCTTCACGATATGTACACTCTATGTGTTTTTATTAAACCTGCGTTCACTTAAATCATTTTCGGTAAATATTGTTGGTACTTACCTAAATACAAAAGCGCGGGCAGCATTCATTTCTCTATACGTGTAAAAATACGTCACGCAAACTACACACTCAGCGGAAAACGTCGGAACGGTATAGGCATGGGCAGTGAAAAACCTGGCAAGAGCCGTTGTGAAACCTCCAAACAAAAAAGGTACGGTGGAGCCAACAAAAAAGGCAGGCAAAGATATTGAATCTGTCAATATTTAAAGAAAGGCGGCAATGCGTATCTTCACAATTATTGCCATCTTCGCAAATATTTGGCATTCATTGGCTTTCAATACTCAAGCAATGTAGATATTCATGTATAGCGAAACGCGAAAAGCCAACGCAGGACAAATACTTCTGCGAACGTTTTCCAATCTGGTGCAGCGATTGGTCCGATGCCGGCATGCTGCCTGGATAGATGGTCCGGCAAGTCGCTAGCACCAATCAATATGATTCTGTTAAAGAACATTTTGAATTTTACCCCACGTTTGTTAGTTCATGAGTTCACATCGTTCCCATCAATATACCACTGTTCATAAAGCATGTACGTCTATTGGGTTACTTTGATGTACTCAGGTTTCAGCCACCAAAACTGTTAGCCATGCTCGAAGCAGCAACATTCATGATTGTTTTCGATCATTTAGAAGAGATCACAAGCAGGATGTGAGTAGTAAATTTTTTCCTTAAGCTCACGTAAACACCCCTCGTAACTCTGGAAGCTGCCATGAGAGATGTACGAAACGCAAATATTCTAACATTAAACAGTACCAAGTAAACAGTACAGGGCAGTCTGTTTATTTGTTGAAAAGACAACACATTCCAACAATGTTCAAAATATTTGACGTTTGTTGATACTTCTCGGCATCAGCCCTGTATGGCGTTAAAAGCTTCTAGGTTACACCTTTTATTTTCCTTGTGAAAGTTACTCTACTCAAAGAGCTCCCTTTTTCGTAGCCTGTCACTGCTATTTACGTCAAAAAATGCGTGAATTTCGGCGAAGGTGTCTTTCTATGCTTTTGGAAGGATATATCATGTATAGCACCAATGAGTACCTAGCATGCATACAACATAAGCTATATATACGTCATTAAATGCCAGTCACGTTCTGCGCTTCACCACGGAAGCATGCAAGCACTATAGCAGCGTCCCTGATTGCAAGCACCGCATGACAAAGTTTGCATTAGTTTCAGATGTAGTGAATGCAGGATGAAGCAGTAGCTACAACAAGAGAGGGACACCGTGCTTAGCTTTCCTGAATTTTTAAAGAATTAGTCTAGACGGGAATATGAGTCCGACAATAAAAAAACTCGATTAAAAAGCAACGAAAACAAATTCAAAAATACTGCATAACCGTCACCATGCCTGTGCCACGCTTTCTCTGCGCCCATGCTTACGCTATACCTACGCCTTACATGGGTGTCTGAAGGCTGATCAAGGAAGCCCGACTGCTTTGTCCACCCGAAAAGTATGTTGAAAAATGCCAGGACTGCACGGAACGCGCAGCACTACCACAGCAAAAGCTCAAGAAGCGGCGTTTGAGCGCCTTTTCTTATCCCTTTTTGAGTAACTGCTACGAACGCAACTGCTGGGTACTCACTATGCCATAAATTGTTATAATTTTTTTAGGTAAGCTGGCAATCACTGTGATACCCTTCATGGTTCTTCGAGAAGCGTGGCATCCGCTACACATTTGCTAGGAATATTGTGCAATAGTTTTATGCAGAGGCTGACGACAATGAAGAATTACGCCTGAAGTAGGTACGCACCTGTCCCCCTTAGTGGGTCAATCCTTCTTAATGGGTGAGAGCCACGACAAATGATCAAGCAAGCAAGCAAGGTATCCACCACATTTAGTAGGTAAACAAGAACAAGCTTTTATAACGGGTTGGATCAATGAATGACCCACGCTTTACGCAATGCACATTGTGCGACGCCTGGTTGTTCCTTTGATATTCTAGAACGCTTTATCACTCATATTAGCACGATGCCTTTCCTGACATCGGGCTGGCCTAAGGCCAGTTTTGAAATGACTTTCAAGCACCTGTGGGCCTAAGCGATAGAATACCTGGCAGGCACGCAGCAGACCTGAATTCGAATCCCATTGTGTCCTTGGCAGTTTTTAATTTACTAAGTATTTTTCCCTATTTCTTGCGGTGTTGGTTACGGACAGTAGTGGCGGTAGACAGCGCTGCTCGTGACCTGTGTTCTAATCTCATAACAGCTTTCATTATGATAATAAATTTCAACTAAAAATCAGAATTATTCAATCATGACTGAATAACTCTGCTCAACAAGTCAACTTAGAGGGTACTACAGCAGCCAAATAGTCGACAAGCTCCTCACGACAGTTCGAGCTGTGGTCGAATTACGTGGCATAACCATTACATAGCCACTTTTCTGGCATGCAACTTTCAAGACGCCTTACGTTTCTAAAATACCTAAAAACCGTAATATAAGGCCTCCGACTCGTGGCATGCAATACAGTCCCCTCACCTAATTTGCTTGTAGGGGGCTGGTAGACGCACCAGTGTGCCAGTGACTCTAGGATCTAGGTGAATTTGTACAGACACACGAGAAGCAAGAGATACGTACTATATTGCGAGTGAAGTATGCCTTCTACTGACTGGTGTTAAACTAAGACAAATAGGAATAATGTAGTCGCCCAATTGTTCTGAAAACACTGAGTAAAAATGCATGACATGGTCGATACCTAAGTCAAAAGTCACCAAAAATTCATCATGTCACCATTCGTAATTTTAGGTCGCCACTAGCCCCTCAGATTTGCCAATAAGGCAAAACGTAGACACCAGTGGTAGCCCTGGCGCAGACTTCCAATTCAGTAGCCGCTATACGGCCAGCTTCGCACCAATGTAACTACTCTGCTCTGACAGTGTGGGCAAATTAATTCGCGATAGATTAATGGATGAATGCTATGAGCGACCGCATTATAAAAGGATGGTGACACGTGGGCCACTAGGCCCACAAGAAAAATATAAATGAAAACTTTTTTACGTTGGGCTTATGCCTTATCTACTTCGAATAAATTGATCCTAGTATAACAAAGAAAAATATGTATTGTCGGCTCATCTCCCTCTTTCTTCAGTTTGAATGACCTCATTAGCCCACTACTCCTCTTCTATATTTCCTTTTGTCTGTGACCAATGCTCTAACCTTTACTTACTTGCTCCTGTCACGGACGTATTCAGCTTTCCATGGTTGTTCCCAA